TTGTATTTTTTATTACACGGTAAAATTAATAGTTGTTTGGTCACCTCTTTATGGTATCTATATGTTATTTTGGTATGATCGAAGCTATTCAAATATAATGAAGCCGCACAAACAACCAATTTTATCTCGTACAATGAATCTTGAATTGCAATTTCTTTCCCGTAACAGTCGAGCGAACAGGCCGTTGTTCCTTGAACGTACGGCTATCAAGATCAAAATTACGATAACCGCCCACAGTTGCATAAATCACATTAAAAATTTGCGTGTGCACTCCTTACTGCGTGTGCCGCATGCCAAATGATAAACCAATGATTGCAGATTTAAACAATTTATTTGTAATACACTATAATGCCTTGCAACTGAGAACAGAATCATTAGACGAGAATCATAATATGCAATGTCTAAAAAACAATTATTTAAACATAATCATACTAATATTATAAATATGAATGTTTCGATGGATGGATGTTTGCAGGTATCTCCAGAACATTCAAAACGTATCTTAATGAAATTGAGCATACATATAGAACATAGTCTGGAAAAACACATAGGCTACTAATTGTGTTTTTATAAATCCGCGCAGACGGAGGCGAGGGCGACCACTAGTGTTAAATATAAATAATAAATGACTTCCGGATATAGCCACTTAAAGCAGTGTTAATTTCACAGCTTACCGTGAAATCTGTCGATAAATACATCGATGTCATAGAAATATTTTAAGAAAAAAATTATGTCATCAATAACGCTTCCTAATTCTCTTGTGTCAATTATAGTTGTTCCTTCAATTGTTTTTCCGCTACGCGTTGTCAGTAAATTAAAATCTTTGTCAAACACAATTACATCTAATGTGTCATATTCAATAGTGTCAAGGTCAACGTAATTTTTAATATGCGTCATCGTAGTTGTATATTCAAAATAATAGACTTAAAAAGTTATAGAGCCACCCAATTGTTGGCAACAGAATTTTACCAAAATAGGAATTTTTTTCTGAAAAAAAAATCAACCTAATTTTTCATTTAATTTTCCATGCACGTGTCAGATGATTCTGTTACTAATAATGATCACAGAAGTACGTTAAGATGAATTATTGATGGGATATCATCCTCTACCTTCGCAATGTTTCCTCGTTTCTAAGAATTTGTTCACGGTCGTTGTACATTCTAACAATTTAATTCATCACTATTATTAGATGTGGTAACATTACTCCACAAATGATTCCTACAGTCATCATTATTGTATTGTATTTCTTCCTACTCAAAGTTTTACATACCTAAGTTAAATTTAGTATTATTTAATTGAAATGAAAAGTTCATTTGCCTTTATAAATTTACGTACAGGCAGTCGCCACAACGTCCGAGCGAAATTAAAAAATATATAATTATTTAGCCTATGCCTTCTTCCAAACTATGTAGCCGTTCTGGGGATATCTTCAAAGAAACATCCATCCACCCGTCCGTATATATATATTTTTAATAAAACATAAGCAAATTTCATTGTTAATTTACTAATATTTCTTTTACCATTCTAACTAAGCTCTAGGCTTGTGTTAGGATATGGTTTACGACAATAGTCGAATGGCGGGCTTCGAACCCTATATATATCCATCCAAACATTCGAATTTGTAATCTTGCTAATAAGTAAGATTGATAAATTCTTAATTATAGGTAAATAGGTTGTAAGTAGTAGTTTTTCATGCTTGCTATCAACTGTGTCAACGTTCGCATGACCGATAAACTATTTTGAATAGTTTGCAAATGTTACGATCTAAATGAAACTTTTCATCTGCCAAAAAATATAACTGGCAACTCAGTGATATGTGTTGTACGTTTTTGTATTTTATTTTTCATAAATAGGATCAAATACGTCACTTATAAATTCAACAAATTCAAGACTGCAGTACTTTAACTTTAGTATTCAACGCAACATTGAATGGTTTTGATTTATGTTTATACACTTTGTAAATATGTTCGCGACTCGCATGCACCATACATCAAGTATCAAGAATAAATGGTTTCTAGTACATGTATCATGTTAGTATGTTGGTGCTGCGCCAGGCACGTTCTGTTGAATTTTTGATTTTACAATTGAAATTCGGATGTACGAAGCGCGCTGCGGCAGAGCGGTACACGTCCGCCAGGAACAAATTTGATGTACCCCACACCATAGCTTTTCTTGTTTGACATATTGTACCAAAATAAATTTGTAAGTATTCTTGCAACTTTTACCCAAATTGAAATAGGAAGATCTGTGACCTTTTTACAGTACACATAAATATGTAATAGAAACAAAATCATATTTTGTACACAAGATGTATTTGCGTTGCTGATAACGAAAAATCTATTTTTAATCTATCTGTCTGTTTAAGTGTCTGTGCAAGACCGCATTTGTTCGGGTAGTCTGGAACGGCGAAACTAATTTTGCCTAAAAAATATCTGAATGATGGCTTAATTAAAATATTTCATTATATATTCGAAAAGTTTTAATATTCATTTCTTGAGAAATTAATCAACGCAATGAAGCGATTCTACTGCAATAAATATCAACAACGATGGAGCCTTATGGCGTCAAGTTCCAATTTGTTCCAACTAATTGAATAATAAATCAATAATATAAGTAAATATTATATATGTACCGGCACCGCCTAAGCGTTGTTCCATTGTATCTCAAATAACTTATCGTTTTCGCCGTTTGGGGTTCCGAGAAGTTCGCGGTATTCAAATAAAACGTATAACGGCCACCATGTTTATCTCAGGTCATTCGAATGCAATATGATTCTGATCTTTACGAAGGACCATTTATGTAGAAACCAAAAAAAATCATAAAAAAAATAATTAAACCAATCTGAATAACTCTACAATACTTCGAGTTGAAAAAAGATCGGTCAAGTATGTGTGATCTTAGCGGCGTGCATGTCTACAGGGTCACAGTATAATGATTACACATAAACAAATGCATAACGACGAAAAATGTAACCCTCTTAATATAATAATTGTGTAAAAACTAAAGTAAAGCGAGGCTAACTCTAGTATAGAGATTATGGCCAATTAGTTTTCTACTTCAATGTGCCTTGTTAGTTTTAAAGTCACAACACCATCTGGCTTATGGGATGAAATAGGAAATTCAATATCGATATTAATAGAAAAATACATTCCTAGACCACAACCGGTACTAACAAGAACAAGCTAGAAGAGGTCTTGTGTTTTTTAATAACATTCTTCGCATGCTATAAAAAGTCATAGCTTTTACACATACAAAGAAATAGCTTTTAAATTTTTAAAGTGATGAATCCAATACACTAAACTCAACCAACCTTATGTAATGTCCAGTTTAAATTTTTGCGTTTTGCGAATAAATTGGTACGATATACTTATTACGATATACTTATTACTGAGACAAATAAAAACGAGCAGAGTTCGCGATTTTCCGGTGACATTACTATTCAATAGACTAATTTTTGCTTCACACAATCGCATAGATATAAACGGTTAAGATGTATAGAGTATTTCGATTTTTTCGGTATAAATATATTTATTTTCAACACACAAACATACAGAGTCATAAAATTGTCAAATAGTAATCAAGAGCATGTATTTAGTAATTCAAATGGCAATGAAATATAATACAAATATTAGTTAATTATTTTCTATGGTATATACTGTTTGCCTCTCGTGATGGGTAACTGCAGTATGAAAAAGCTTTCGTTTAGAAAGTCGAGCTGCATCAAATGAAGATGAGGTACGGCCCGAGTTCAGCTTTCAAATATTAATGACTTAAACCTAGATTCTGTTATTAGCGCCATCTAGAAAATTAATTACGTTTCATTTTTTTATTGTTCAAGTTCAGACGCTTTTATCTTTCAAAGCATAATTATGACTTCCTACTAATTAGAGTGCCGTTTCAGGTACTAATTTGTAATTTAATAGGCTCGTTATTTTATCTTAATATTCGTCTATTGTCTTTATGATTAAGCAAGGTGAACGAACGAGATAGTTTGACTGACGAGATCAGTTTATCAAACGTTCTTAGATGGTTTCTGACAAATCCTATATAACATACTCATAAAATTTTAGATAGTGGAGGGAATAATAGGGATCTATACCATTTAAGGCTGGCAACGCATCGTCATGGGCGTCGGGTAAAATACTATTAGGGGATCCGATGCTCAACTCAACTTACCCAAAAAAAATCGGACGCTTTTGCGTCAGTCGGTCACAGCTTCATACTATATTTAGTATTTTTGACATGATTGGTGTGCAAAAAATAATTTATTCATATATGCTTATTTATAACATATGAAGGCGCAAATGCTTATTGCACTGTAACATATCGCGCACCTGACGACTACTTCTAAACCGCAAACTCTGTGAGCTATCATTATTCATGTACATAAGTGTACTCCAATTACAGTATTATGTATCTGTATTCTCGTTTCGTATTATTTTCAACTCGAATTGCCATTTAATTTCTAATGCTGTTATTCTGATTGACTTAATATGAGACTCGCATCTGAACAATTAAAAATCTTGATTCACTTTAGAGCAAAGAGTTTTCTTTTCATTGACCGAAAGCTTCCGCTATCGAAACTCCCAAGCTACATATATTTTGATAGTGAAAATATACGGTAAATCTACTTTAGAATATAGTGATAACTTAGTGCTAAATTAATACAATTCTGCAATGACATCTTATTAATGAATTTAAAAATTATACCATCCCGTAATATATGAAAAGCTGCAAGTGTCCCAATTTTTGGGAGTAGTGTAGCTGATATCTTAATATATAAGTAAAATCTGCAGGAAAATAATTAGGTATAACAATAGAAAAGTATGTAATATGTAACGTATTAGAATAAACGAAAATCTCGACATAAATTTTAGCAGATTGTTATGACCTTAAAATATCTACAGAGTATTTAGTGAAAACTATTACGAAAGATTTTCATCTCGATAATAAATTGACAGTTTGATAAAGCTGTTTGGAATTACTGCCGGCATATTTACCTTGAAAATACGTGGACCGGGGCCGTTGATAAAATTCACACACACGCTCAACACTGCTAAAAGCACGGGATAAATATAATTTCGTGTGTTTTTCACGCGTTTTTAATTGATGTATTCGATACCGGCGCGCGTGTAACTGTGTGATCAACGCGCGTGCTCCCTCCTTGAACGTCGGAGCTATACTGGCCAAGTTGCGATCATAGTCATAGTATGCGGATCGTAAAATATAATCGCTTTTCACTTCAGTTGTTTCCATGTGTCAATGCGGAGTTGTTTTTTTTTACTACTACATACTGGTATTCAATGGCGATGACTTCAGCCAGCACGTAATTTGAGAAACGTAGCCAGTAAGTAAATAAGCGTCGGTCGGTCAGTTTATTTTACATTTCCCTCTGACGACGTGTATAGGGCTAACATACGAATACTTAAATATAATTTTCCTTCATTTATTTAAAGTAAGAAAAATTTATATAAACGTATATAGGAATAACAAAAATGACTGAGTGAACTTATCAAGGCTTAGCCAAAACTACTGCTGTAGCGACATGAAATTTTACATACAGGTTTCTGTTACTACGAATGAAAGATTTTATGAAATTCATCCCCTAAATGTCTAAAGTGGAGGTTCATATTTAGTATGAAGCAACATTATTTCTTTCGCGGAATTACTTGAAAATTGAGACAAATGCAAATAATTAACTACATATTACACGTATATTTTATTCTGATTTATTGGGTTCTTTATTTAAGATCGATATCCTACTAGCATACCTAAAATGATATCTTTGATTTTACGCGGAGTCAAGAAAATTGTTTATGTTTTCATAACCACAAAATATTTGAATACTTGTTATAAGGTGGTTATACACTAGAATATTATATCGAGCATATCTATGTAATGTAACGTTCGTACGAATGTTATAATACAGATGAAAGCGCAGTTTTCAAAGCACGTCGTGTTCGTGAAAGGGTGATAAAACAGAACATAATATAGAGCAACTCGTTGTTCCGTTACAATTAAATGCTATAGTCTATACTCGCCTTAATGTATTTGTATTTTCAACTATCTTCTAACCTTGCACGATCAATAGATAAAGTATTTCAGTACGCTCAGGGACACACTAAGATAATCTGATAAATATATTTATCGGATATATAAACATAATAAATAAAAACGTACACACATAGGCTATTTTTAATATCATTGTTTAATTATTATGAAAGCAAAATAATTTATAAAATTTTATTCCTATTAATAAGCTATTTAATAATGTCCTGTTTAGTTTTAATAAGTTAGTTTTTAATTAAAAAATATACCTAACAGCCGAAATTGTTTATTTTTTTTTTATTTTTATTTGTCTATATGTGTGATTTTTACATAAACATTGCTCGGTATTATTGCGTATATCTGTCATCGAACAATCGTGAATTCCACCAGTTTTTAATTTGCCTAGACATTTGTAAATATTCACCGGTTTACCATCAACCGATCGGTACAAAATGTACGTGTTTGTAATCTAAGTTAAAACCCACTTTGCAAAAGAATTATTATAAAATGCAATTTGAAAAATAAAATTTTCCTAGACAAATTACAAACGGGCATCTTTCACAATCTTTCGGGGACATTACTATTGAATCCTGTTTGAAAAAGATTCTTTAAATAAAACTAGACTGATACTTTAAATATTTAGTTTGAACAGCGTTATGCAATGCACCGAAAATGTACGCGTTTGCAAATTCCAAAGTAAACATGAGTTTTTAAAATAATCCTCGTGTGGAACGGAATGTTATCGGCAACAACTAAACCCTGATATATACCACGCGGGTTCCCGTTTCATAACAATATTCTTAACGTTACTAACATTACATCCGCTATTTAAAAGAATTAACATTTATTGGGTAAAGGACTATAACCGACGTCAAAAACGAAGGAGGTTCTCAATTTGTCTGTATTTTTTTCTGTTCGTCCGCAACTCCGCCCCTAGTTGTCCGATTTTCGTAATTCTTTTTTTTATCCGAAAGGTATTGCGTGTCATTTGGTCTTTTTTTTTAAATTATGTTACCACTTTTATGCGCTAATTAAAGTCTTAACATCCTGGACTTCGTGTTGTCTCTTAACTAACAAGACATGTCTGTTAACCCTTATCGCACAAACTACAAAAGTAATTAGGAGAAAAATATACAAATTTTTTCTTAACGTCTGTAAAATAAAGGAATGATTAAGCTATAATAATGATTTACTACGCGTAATAAAGAAGTTAGATAAGTTTTTAAATATTTTAAGTGCGTAGCGAAAAAAGATACTGATAGAAATACAATTAAATAGATAGAAAGAACCAATGTAAGAATTAAGAATTTAAAGGCCGGCAACGCATCTGCGGTTCCTCTGGTATTGCTGATGTCCATGGGCGTCGTTGAACACGTCGGTGTTCCCGCTGCTCGTTTGCCCCCTTCTGTTATATAAAAAAAAATCATAATAAAGGCTCAAATACAAAACAATGCAATATTTATTGGTAATATTTAAATTACAGATCAAAGAGCGATTTACAAATTTTTTTTTTGTAATCGATTTTAAATTTTTTTTTGCAAATCGTGAAATTTTTTGTAAATCAAAGTTATTAAAAAATAACGATTAACTTAAGATTAACATTACAAAGTCAACATTAGTACAGTTAACAAAATATTCCAGTACCATGATATATCATAATATAATGATAATAAACTGGAATCACTTCAAGTCAATGATGCGATGCGACTTATCTCCGTGTGCTAAATTTTTGCACATTTACGTGCAATCATATTAAATCAAAACATTGATTTTTATCTCTTATCTCTTATCTCTTATTTTAAAGCTTGATAAATATTTTATTATATAAAAATGCACTGGAATTTTATTATTCAAATATTTATTTCGAGACATTTACGGATTCGTATCATTCAGATTTTGGACTTCTTGATTCAAAACAACATCGAAATATTACCGTCGTAGCCATTTTAGGATTACATAAAAAAATATATTTAAATTTGGGTGATTTGAACTATAACATTAAGAGGCCCCATTGTTGATAACAAAAAGGTTACCATAGCAGTAAAGTCATTTGCAATGATCGCTTTTAACGTAAACTTTGTATTCTTCCAGACTATGCTCTACGTCTATGACAAATTTCAGCAAGAACAGCTGTCCTGGAGATAACTTCTAACAAACATCCATCCTTCCACACATCCAAATATTCACATTTATATTATTAGTAAGATTCAAAACGATCCATTCTGCATCAATAATCTCAACCCATCTGTGAGTTATCGAATATTCATGAGCAAAGTAACAGAAGAACGTTATCTTAGTAACCTAATTCTCTAGAGGAGCCTTCAAGGATAGATAACAAATGGCTTATCTCGTTTCTGCGAAAGTCGAATTCGTCTACAGTGTCATACCGCTGCATTCGCTGTTTACACATTAGTTAAGGTCGTAAAATTTATGAACACTTCTATTTTAATTGTGACAAATAGTTTCGCGGAAACATTATGACGTATTGAACATTTCAAATAGGTTTATTTAACTTGCTCTGTATATTTAGGTCAAATGTATAATAGTAAATAATTGAAATAAGACCTCCATTGACGAATTGATGTAAGCTAAATCTAAGCTCTTGTCCGTATTTTTTATATGTTTCAAACTTTATCAACGAGTTTATATCTAGTTTATTTAACAACTGTATAAAAGCACGTTTGATTTTCTCAAGTAACAAGTATTGTTCTGATGAAAGATTTGCATTACTTTTAATTTAAGAAAAGCAAATTAGATAATATTAATCTTTCAATGATCCTGAAAAACTAATGAATGAATAAAAGACGTCTTGTACCTCAATATAGTACAGTCAGCTGCATAAATATGTAGATAGCTTCAAAAACGAGTATATGCGTTCGGTTTTAAAAATATGAATACACGCATCCATCCTTATGCTTCCGACTATGATTACACATCATTGGCGAATTCGTGCAAACGTATTTTTTAAACCGAAGACCTATACAAATTTCAAAAAATTGTAAGTGTATACATATTTATGCAGCTGACTGTACACAGCAATAAAATGTCGGCTAAAGTTATTAACTGTGTAAAATTACGTTATACTCGCTTCCTTAATTGTCTATCTAAGATAATCATACGTACGTTATCATTGTGACACTCAGTTCAAATAATGTAAGTCGCAAGACAATGTGTAGGTAAACATGCAATTTGCAGGTGCTGAAAATTTTAAGCAATAACTTACATGCAAGATAGAGAATGTAAAATGGTAAGTTTTTTATTTGTTTTATTAATGCCTGCATTATAAAGGCTTTAAAATTTTCCTTATTCTACAACTAGCCTCGTTATATTTACTCAATAATAATTATTTGTAAAATATTGAAGCTTAATTTTCCTTGCTAGCTTTGAATGAGTTGTTTAAATTTATGGTGTAAGTGATTATTTGAAAATATTATTATTATCAGTTTATAGGACCTACTACATTTTAACTTTACATCACAAGTAGGGTTAGTCATCACGCCACTTTGTAATTTTACTACAGCTATTTTATTAAATTAATTCAAGGTCTTCGTTCAGGATCGTAAACTTTATGGAGATTAATTTACAGAGTTTAATGATATTATTTTATATGACATCATCACAATACCTTTCCTAAGAATTCAAAACATGTAAAATAAAATGCGAATTCTGGCTGAAAACAATTTCGTTTTTCTTTAATCTGAAAAATTGTGGAATTAGGTCGAACGAAATATAAAAAGTTACCTAACATTTATTCGCAAGTTTGTCCGTGATATTATATTGCGTGGCCTTCAACAACATTGGTGCTGTTAAAGTAAAGTGCTAGGGAATTGTTATTTCGCCTACCGATGCTAAGTGGTGACACCGTGAGAATAGAAGCTTAATAGTGATGTACATAAAAAAATATCGATATTTGAAACCATTAAAGGATTCGTTAATAGTGCCGTTACCATATTTACTTACTATAAAACATGTGATTTTGAAAATATTGATTTAATATATACGACATGTATGTAAATGAACGTAGGTTCTTACCTAGTTACGTAATAAGTTAATTTATTCTATAGACCTTTGTTTCATTAAAATGTGAAATTCCTTTAAATATGTTAGTGAACCTTACGTAATGTAGATACCACTGGCTGGTTTGACT